AAAACTCGGGCAGGGCTCCGTACGCAGTGCAGCAGTTTGTTTAGAAAAACTACAAGACCACCGTGAATGAGTTCCACATTGTTAACTTCGACTCTGGTCTTTGAAGAGTGTGTCTAATTTGTAAGAGAACATTAATCACTCCTGTCCGGATCCGGGGACGAGTGGATTTTGTTGTTGCGTGTGAATGTTGTACACGTTAATGGTAATTCAAGAAAGCAGGATGATGAATGACATGTTAATCACAGCAGGGCATTGCTCAACGTTAAATGAGTGTTTTCAAGGAAACACATTTAAATACTCAACTTGGACTCATTAGATTTGCTTTGAACCTCCGGCCCCTTTTGTTAAGAGTTACTGAAAGCAGGTGTTTGCCTTTTAACCATTTTCTGTTCTTTTTGTTTATTACATAACCTCCTTAATCTTCTGTGTTCGTATTCGCTCACCAATGTGCATGAGAATCGTGTCGCCTGGTGCGACTCGCGCAGGTTTACTGAAACCTGCCGTTTTCGGGGCCTTCAGGTCTGACCATCGCCAAGCGCATTGAAATCTCGGACCTGCCGCAGCTGGTGGCGGCCTTCCACAGCCTCGTGGGTCTGGCCGCCGTCCTCACCTGCGTGGCCGAGTTCATGATTGAGTTCCCTCACCTCGACACCCACCCGTCCACCGGAGTGCTGAAGACCGTGGCCTACATGGGCACCTACATCGGCGGCGTCACCTTCAGCGGCTCACTGGTGGCCTACGGCAAGCTTCAGGGTAAAGGAAGCTACCGATTCTTTGTGGCTGCCGTGGGGTACAGACCCACTGATATCTGTTCAAACACGCTGAGCTTAGCGTCCTCTGCCGCGGATTGTCTTTCATGTAGTTAAAGCCAAAGATCCTCTGGTAGATCTAGGCCTGGGCTTTGGTGGTGGGGGTGGGGGAGGGGAAGGGGGGGTAGTGAGCCTGTGCCAGCAGTCTTCAATTTGCATTGCAGAGCGACTGATCAAGAGGAACACATGAGAAGCTTTCTAGTAATTTGCACGGCTTTGGTTTGGTGCAGGATGGCTGATTAGAGGCCTCCGTGGGGGGTCGAGGCGTTTAAAAAAAAAAATCTTGTCACATTATTCTGCTTTCAGCCTGAAAATGTTTGTTGGAAATGTTTTTGGTCGCAGGCGTGCTGAGCTCGTCCCCGCTGCTGCTGCCGGGACGACACATGATGAATGCCGGTCTGATGGCGGCGTCCATGGGAGGCATGGTGCCCTTTATGCTCAGTTCGACCTACGGTACCGGCATGGGGTGTCTAGTCGGAGTGTCCGGACTTTCCACCATTATGGTGAGTCTCAACAATTATCCGAGGAATATGAATTCTTCTTTTCAATAAATTACTTAAATGATACAACACACATTTAGTCAGAGCAGAAGTTGGTGCCAAGTGATGGTGCACGTTTCAATTTGAATAACGCTAAAGTGGCTCAAACAACTCCCCACAGGGCGTCACCCTCACAGCAGCCATCGGCGGCGCCGACATGCCCGTGGTCATCACCGTGTTGAACAGCTACTCTGGGTGGGCGCTCTGTGCCGAAGGCTTCCTGTTGGACAACAACCTGATGACGATTGTCGGCGCCTTGATTGGCTCCTCCGGTGCCATCCTCTCTTACATCATGTGTGTGGTGAGTAGACGCACGTGTGTCCAGTCAAAGGTGGTGAACTCTCCCGCGTGCACCTGAAGTAAGAGTTGTTGTTGTTGTCGTCCTCCTCCTCTCCTCCAAGGCCATGAACCGCTCCCTGCCCAACGTGATCCTGGGCGGATACGGGACCACCTCCACGGCGGGCGGCAAGCCGATGGAGATCGTCGGCACTCACACCGAGGTCAACTTGGACCAGACCATCGACATCATCAAAGAAGCCAGCAGCATCATCATCACGCCAGGTGCACACCGTGCTGGACATTTGTCCGTCCCCTTGGTACTAATAAGGAATGTTCCACTCTGTGCACAAAGCGGAGACACTCCCGATGAAAACCAGAGCCCAGGTGTGGAAAGTTTTAGTTGAGATCAGTCTCTTAACGTCAGATTCCCTCATCAGAACCTCTTCTCCACTCCAGCTGCAGCTTTTCAATAATCTCACTCATCTAAATTGAATTCACGTGATTTAAATTCTCTGGCAAGACAGGAATTTAAAAAAAAGAAATCGTGGACATCTTGAGCTCAATGACAGGGCAGTAATTAATGAAACGGAATAGAATATTGGAGCCAATGGAACCACAAGAGGGAGCAGTTTGTGAACAAATGCTCTCACTCACACATGGACTCATAAAGTGAGTGTGTGTGTGCTTGTTTGACAGCCGTAAGAGCATCGGTTGATGAACTTGATTTTTGAGTGTGAGATGGAAACCACATTCTAATTTTTTTTTTTTTTTTTTTCTAATGAAAAATCCAGACAACTGAGAGGTTGTTGAGTGGCTCAAGCAGGACGAATTGCTTTGAACCATTTGGATACTTGGATTAATGTTGTTTCCCAGCGGCTCCAAACCAACGCACGGACAGTTGTCTGGTCCAACATGCCGGTTTGATCAGAGAAACGGTGAAAAGTCATGAGAGCTCGAGAGTTCTCCACGCGCTGTCAACAACACAGCACGGCAGCAAGGAAACAGAAGGCTCCGGTCATCTAGGGAATTAGAAGATGCTGGTTACGGGTGACCGCCTTGTTAAAAGGCTTGATTGGGGAGGAGGGGGGGGCGCGCAATGCTGAACTCTACAAGGTACCGGACCACCAGGGTGAAACAGGGGTTAGCCAGACTCTGGGGGAAAAGTTCTTTGCACGCAAGGTACCCAAAAGCACACCACACATGCCAAAGGTTTCCGAAGAGAAAAATGTCTCATAGGCCGGCGAACCGCTGTGATTTATTACAAAGAGACTTGTGGTGGATGAGGACGGGGAGAGGGGGGGGGGACAAGGGAAAGCATGAAGGGTAGTGGAATCACTGGCGTTATTTCTGGAGAATGAACTACTATTGTGTTAAACACGTGATCCGATAGGGGTACAAACAAAATAAGGGAAAAAGACAATCGGATAATCGACGCCTTAAATAAATGGGACTGCGTCGTAAGATTCGGACGGCCTTCTCCGTTGCGGTGCTGCGTGTTTATTCCCTGTCTGCCTTCTGTGTGTTTTAGGTTGGGGTCTGTGTGCAGCCAAAGCCCAGTACCCGATCGCAGACATGGTGAAGATGCTGAAGGAACAGGGCAAGAGTGTCAGGTGAACTTTGAACTGTGTATAAGAAAGTTGAATTTCTATTCCGGTGAATCAGAGTTCTGGGGTCTTGTCGTTACACAAGCTTCAATTGTGTGCATGACTTAATTTTCTTGTCAAATTCTGCAATACTTTCTCAGAGGACCACACACACCAGCAGTTATAGAGAACTTTCGCGATTCGACCTTTTAGATGAGGAAGTCAGACCAAACCGACAGTACAGATTAAAAGGATGAGATTTCTAATGCTGAATCTTTTACTTTGTCAAAGACTATTTTTACAATGTAATGTCGCTACTGTTTCACTTTAAAATATCTTCATACTCCACAACTGAATATACAATTGTGAATTTGTTTATAAAGAGACAGGTGCCTTTTTTTTCTCGTGGTTTCACAGGAGCAGCGAGGTATCAATGCAAATCCAGGTGTTGATGAGCAGTAACATTGTGCGTCTCCAACAGGTTTGGTATCCACCCAGTGGCCGGTCGCATGCCCGGCCAGCTGAACGTCCTCTTGGCTGAGGCCGGCGTTCCCTACGACGTGGTCCTGGAGATGGATGAGATCAATGAAGACTTCCCAGGTTCTCCTTTTTTATTTTTATTTTATTTTTTTTATCCAAAGAAAGCTCTTTAAATATTTACTTCATGGTTTTCACTTCAGCAGGAAGGCTGTCCGGTAATAATCCAATCCCTCTTTTCACACGCACATGGAGCATTTTTAAGGCCAGCAGATTTGTTTTTCTTAGCAACCAGAGAAGCTTACTGGGACACATGGTTGTGTTTAGGACAGAGGGAGACGAGTGCGGCGCCGGGGAACCCGATGACACCGCTGAGGACAATTGTCGGGCAGTCGGCCAGCTTTTTAGTCTGCGTCGTGTATAAATGTGTAAACGTCTGTGGCCCACAGAGACCGACCTGACGCTGGTCATCGGAGCCAACGACACAGTGAATTCTGCAGCGCAGGAGGACCCCAACTCCATAATCGCTGGCATGCCTGTTCTAGAGGTGTGGAAGTCCAAACAGGTTGGTCTACAGTTTTTCCCGTTTGTTGTTTTGCTGCACCGACAGCATCAGCATATCATATGGTACAGTGACGATATGCATTTATCCAAACTACTCCAGGTGGTAGTGATGAAGCGCACTTTGGGAGTGGGCTACGCCGCGGTCGATAATCCCATTTTCTACAAGCCGAACACATCGATGTTGCTAGGAGACGCAAAGAAGACGTGCGACAGTCTGCAAGCCAAGATCAGAGAGGCCTTCTACTAGCGGCCGCTCCTTGGTCTACGGTCATGGACGGTGTTGCACAAGTATAAGCAAGTTGACAAAATACTGTATTTCCCTGAATCAGCTTTCAGGATATATTTTTGTAGGAAAGATTCATCTGGTCTGGAAGAAATGAGATTGGATTACAAAGATGCCCAGGCTTCATTATATAATTTGAGGCATGAATAACTCAAATAAAAATGTGTATTGATTTGTAAATAAAATCATTTAAAACGCATTGGATACATTTCCTTTTTCTTTGATTATGAAATCTAAGATTTTACTGATTGAAACTTGCACTACTTAAAGTCTCACACCAACATGTGACACTCTTTTAAATATTTTGAATTCAACTACAATACTAAACCCCATGTGATTTTTAAAATACCCCAATTACCCGTTAGTCACTTTGCAGAGTTTTTTTAGCATACCATTCCTTTGTTTGCAATCAAGTATGTTTTGATTGCATAGCTATACTGTCTTGTTTATTCATATCGAAACATACTTCATGTTTGGCAATTGTAAGCACTTTTATTGCACACTTATACAAATAGTATCTCATACAAAATAAAGATCCCACAGGCATAAAATATAACTCATCAAAATCATAAAAGGCCTGGTATGTGAATCCACTCTTTAACTACGGTTCAGGTTTGTCCTCTCAGTGTCCCTCAGCATTTTCCAGCAGAAGTCTTTGCTTTGTTGACAATGGAGTGCAGGAAGGAGTAGAAGAAGAGAAGGTTGTCATATTCTCCATCGTACTCCTGAGCAAGGCAATGCTCACGGAAGTCCTTGAGGAAATAATAAATCGCCTCGATAGTAGCTAGGTAGGTGTCTGGTTTGCCTTTCTGACTGCGCCAGAAACACGTTTTCCTCGTCTTCAACTCCACCCGGAGCAGATCTGGAGGAGAACACACGTCAGTCAGAGGGTTTCGGGGTCAGACAGAACAACGTGCGAGATCACGTCAAACAGCGCGGTGGCAGAAGTCAAATTCGACGCCAACGATCACCAGCTGTCTGAGCCCTTCTGCACAAACGCAATCGTTCACTATTACCTTGCAGTCGTTCGTCTGTGCTGATCTTGTTGGTCTGGTTCCATGTGCTGTCAATGAAGACCACCCTTTGGAGGGGGTACGCCCTTGACTCAAAGCCCGTTGCCTCATCTGGGCTCGACTGGGGATTCTCTGCACCGTGTGTGGGGCCTTGAACCTCCTCACTTTTTTGCCTTTTTGCAGCGGGTTCATAAGAGGACCCACGTGGCCTCTGGTCTGTCAGTTCATGCAGACACTGCATCATTTCTTGAACTGAGACAGACCCTGGACCAGGGAACACCAAGACCACCTGCAGAGAGACAACACAAGTTCAGAGTGAAACATCATACAACCAAAGACGAAAAGTAGTACAAAATAAATGCTATGGTGATATATGTATGCATTAGTTGGGAAAAGCACTGACAGACTATGGTTTGAAAGGGGCACAAAGCATAAAAGGTTTATGCACTGGAATTCTTTAGGTAAGTCAAATTACAGATTATGCCTAATAGAATAAAAATGATTAAGCATGAAATTTGAAAATGCAGACAAGTGAGTCAACTCTCTTACTTTAACAAATGTCACATTTCTTTCATTATGTTTTATTCAATATGGATAGAAATCCTAAATTAGTTATACTACTACAAATGCAGGAAATTCAATGGCTAGAAACAGTCGCAGTTCATCACTAATAAGGTGCAATGACAGTAGAGTTCTCCTCATAAGGGACGGAGGTAAATCGAGCATTAGACGTATGGAGACAAAAGGATTGCTGGAGCTTAATATAATTAGGTAATTCATTGGTTAAAAGAAAGTAATCCACAATGTTTTGATAATTAAAACTCCATTTCAAAACATAAAATCCTTGTTTTAGCATTTTAATTATAGATTTGTTGTGTGTTATACAATAGCATAATGTTACAGCTTTGGGTTTTGGACTGTTGATGACATAATGTCTTTTACCGGACTGGAACCGGAATTTTGAACATAAGATTTTTTATTTACATTTAAAAAGACCAAACAATGCATCTTAAAAATAATGGGCTGATTAACGGATAATGAAAAGAATTGTAAATTGCAGCTTAACAGGGGTAACGATTGAGACTTTTATGGTGTAAAATAAAGTGAGCGTTAAATAAACTCCATTCTTACAACATGGAAATCAACAAACCTTTCCCCTTTCGTAGTCCGGTATGCAGGGGTACGTGTGTATGGTGACATCACCGGGAGCAAGGATCTTGGCATGGACTGCAGTGCTCTTCCCATCCGTCTCATTGGGATGCTTGATGATGTCGATCTTCACCGGAAGCTGAGCACAAAATGGATTATGTAGAACCATGTCTTGTGTGTAAAATATCTTGTCTGTAAAATTTCTAAAGGGAGTCCTGACCCCTCACTCACCTTGATTACAGGAATCTCTTGCAGGTGCACACCCAGCAACGAGCAGCACGTGTAGCAAAAGAACATCCTTGATCCTCCGCATTTAGAGCATTTCAACCGGCCCCTCTCCTGCGCCTTCTCCAGCACTGCGTGTGATGCCAATTTTAAGCCTTGGAGCGGCTGCTTGGTGAGATCATGAGTTTCCGCCGATTCACCAGGGACTGTTGTCTTGTTAGGGCAACTAGGATGGAGATGGTGGTCTTGATCCTGGCTGCTCATGTCTGCCCTTTGAAAGGATGGAAGAATGCGAAGCCCTCCGCTCATCGCTGAACAAGGACAATAGAAATCATGAAACAACAGTGCTTTAAAAGTGACGTGTGCAATAGTGGAAAAGCTATTGAAGAAAAAGTTAAATACATGAGTCGCTTGTCAAGTTGAATTTAGTAGGGAGACATTTGGTTGATTAATACAAAATAAGTAGTGTGTGATACAATGATGCAATATTTAATTTAGCTTGAATGCTGTCTTTCTAGTTTTATATCACAAGCTTCCCGTTTGCCTTGCTCATCAATATATAATTGAAAAGAGGCAAATACGTGTGCAATCTCAAATGTAGTGTATGGATATTAACGTTAAATGTCCCTTTTACTTATTGTAACGTTATTTGCATTACTTGATCACAGTTTCCTTAGCGTCTACTTATTTTGCTTGGTATAGTTGGTAATCATCATCAATAATAAACACCAAACCTTTTGAGGTATATTGTGTTCTCTGTGGCCCACTGAAATGTGACAGCTCCCATGCTGCTGCTGACGTTAACAGTAAACATGACCTGATGCATGCTAGTGAAGCTAGCTTCTGTTAGCAAGCTGAACATCTCTAGTTAGCTCTGCGCTACTAGCAGATACACAAGTCAAAGTGGCTACTTACGTTGGCTTATACCCCAAAAAACGTCGCTGTAGCTGAATCGATTGGCAAATAACACCGTTTCCATTAGCTAACGTCACTGAAACGACAACGTGTCTATCCGCGAGTTCCGCGAAGAAACGTTTTCTTCTACACCGGAAATACGGGTCCCTATAACGGAAGTAGTACTTTGCCTGGTTACCCGTTGCTATGCAGCGGATCCCGAAGGACCGCTCAGTGGGATAGTGTATGAATTACGTGGCATGACGTCACGTTATGTTTTAATAGCGAGCTGTTAGCATGACTCTCGTGACGTCTTCTCGAACAAATGTGTATTGGATTCATTTTTAATATGAAGATCCTCCTTTTACCACTTAACTCTGATTTCCATGGTGATGAAATCGAATACAAATGTCTCTTCATATTGAAATACGTTAAGTTCATGCACTTTGTCCAATGTCAACATCTGCTCAGCTAGCCTAGACAGTTTTATATTAAAATATTATTTACAAATAAATCTAAATAAAAAGTTGTAAATGAATGCCGCTTAAAACATTTTTTTGCTCTGTCCATTTGTGCAGCACATTCCACATTGCTTATCAATTTTTTAAACCTTTTTTCCCCAGAGAAAACATCTGCACATGGACTGATGATATTGTTTTTCTGAGTCATATTTCTTGACAAACTAAGGTCTTCCCCTGAGCTTCATCTGTCGACATTTACCGGAGTAGACAATAACAAACTTTAATTTTAGGGTAATTAAACGAAACAAACAAAAGCATAACACAGGTTGTCTTAGGTCGTATCGTAGTTTTAATAGTGATAATCTAAAATAAAGTAACTATATAATTTAAATATAGTGGCAATTCGGTCTTATTATTTTCACACTGCAATGTTATTTTTTGGATACTCTGCAACCAGTAATTTTGTTGAGTCTAAAGGAATCAAAGCTGGTTCTCTTTAAAGTCATCTTGAATTAGTGTGATGTTTCCCCATGTGGCTGACTTGAAGTGTTAATTTAATAACAGAAAACTAGCGTGAATTATTAATATGCATCTGTCTCATGCGATGTCAGATGTGCTTAATGTGATGTAAAACAGATTGTTTACTGTCAAATTCCAAAGACAAGTGGTGTCACACTTTTTTACAAAACACAACAGCAGATGTTTATCAATTCATGTTCCCATATCTGTGATATTTGTTTCATTACAGGTCATTTAGCTGATGCTTTTATCCAAAGCAACTTACATTGCATTTTTAACCCATGGCTTTTTTTACATTTTTGCCCAGGGAGCAATTAGGGGTTAGGTGTCTTGCTCAGGGACGCTTTGACGAGCAGCCGGGGCTCAAACTGCCAACCTTTTGGTTTCCAGCTCACCCTCTCTACCCCTGCGCCACGTCGATCCAAATACAAAGGTCTCAGGTAACCACACACTGATGACACTTACCCGGAATGCTTCTTAGACTGACAGACTCTCCAAATTTGATGTATTTATTTATTTATTTCAGACCCAGAGGGATCCATAATGCAGTACAAAGCAGACACACATTGTAATAGATACAAAAAACTAAAAATAAATAAAAAGAATAGCAATACAATGTATAAAACCCTTCAACAGTTCGCGCGAGAACCGTGCTTTTCAGGCATAAATCCCTCCAGAGCGTAATACAAAGACAGGAGCCCTGCTCATGGTAAGGTTTTTACTCATATTTATGGCAATTCTGTGTCCCTACTAGTGCAGATGCCTGTTATTGTGCTTTTATTTTGTCTGTCAGGATAATCTCCTAAAACCCAGAGGGGCATTCCTCTGAAGAACATTAAGCCAAGACACAGCAATGCGAAACATCCAAACTATGTTTGTGAAACATGCCGAAGTCAAAAGCTTTCATCTTAAATGATACAGTGGTCTTATGATGCACCTGTAGTTTTCTTTTTCTTCAACTTTAACTACAAAAGACACGTTTCTTTATGCTGATCAAAACACTGAACAGCACGTGATTGTAATAATGCTGCGGTTGTTTTTCATTGGTACTATTCATTCAGTAGAACCAAGTTTAAACAACTATAATGGTAAAAACAAACTACATATCAATGCCAGCACTCCTTTTTTGGTGAAAGGGTGACAGAGTTTTATAAAGCGGACCGTTTCTTTGCAAGGAATTATGCACACGTCAGGCACCCGGAATAAGTGCTCAACATTGTTGACTTACTGTCTGACCTTGGACACAGAAAGCCTCAAAATGAAAACAAATTGAATGTTTTAGTGGATTTGGCAATACATTTGTTGGATGGATGAGAAGGCTAAGTAGACAATGTTCGCCACAACACGAGAAACCGATGTGGATTCAAACATTGTAAATATCAGTTACCAGGATCTCAAAACCATTCAACGATCATTTTACACAAGTTCTAAAAGAGTCTTTTGTATCTTCTCAGTGTGTTGGACAATATCTCATATGACTTTACCACCGCGCACAATTATGTTGAAATGATTTACTGATTCGAGCATTTCATGCAGTCGAACATCTGCATCACGCATCTTCCGAATACGGGTATTGACATAATGCGCTAACAAGAATCTATGTGATCATGCGTTCAGCGCTTGAAACTTTGGGTTTGGGTGTTTAGAAAGTTTTAAACTCATATATAAGATTTCTACAAATTGTGCCATACGAGCCTCATCATGAGCCTCTTGTGGTCACGCTTTGTTTAGTTTACTCTGATGTTTGGTGAATTCTGGCTCAATAACCATTTATTGGGCAAAGCATCAAGAAGTCATTCCTTGAAAACGTTAAGAGGTACTGTTGCATTTTACTGCAATTAAATTGTTATAATTTGAGTCCAATCTACCAGCGACTGACTTTTGAAACCTGCAACAGGTCTTTGAAATTGTTTTCTATCACATTTGTTCCCCAATCAAGCAGAATATTGTCCGTTGAACAGGATTATGCACTCTTGCAGTGTAGTAGTTGTGTTGTCTTGTGTAGATGTGTTGGTGCTCAGTTAGTTGAAATGCTCTTTCCCAACAGAGCCAGTTGTCATTTTTTACTTAATAGTCAGTATTAATTATTGTAAGTACTTATTTTAATCACATGTTATTATCTCTTTGTAGACATTCAATGTTTTTCCAAGGAAAGTGTGATATTGCGGCTTGTCGCTGTCGGTCTGGACCCTCTTTTTAAAATGATCTGTTGTTGTGCCGCGGTTGGGAGTTCCCTACAAAGTGCTGTAAACAAAATCTTCCCCCAGGTTACCGAACCACAGATGTCCTCTGGGGGGGGGGGGGGGGGGGGCAAAAGGTTGGGGCCCAAAAACAAGTTCAGCTGCGGGTTCCCCTTTTCCCCCTCGTGGCCTCCCACCCGTTTGTCCCGCTGCCCCGAGACCACATCGCCGCATCGCACGAGACTCCCCAGCCCCTCTCCCTGTTTCTCCTCACTCGCCTCGCTTTCTCATCCTCCCCCCTACTCGGTTTGTCTCCCCCCTGTCCCGTCCGAGCAGAGCTGTTCACAGCCAGTGTCAGACTTCCCCGTGGAGGTCGCCCTCCAGCAGCCCGCCGTCTTAATTAATGAACACTAAATCATTTGTCATCAAACCGCCCAGCAGATATTTAGCTGCTTCTTTGAGCCACGACAAAGGAGAGGAATAGAAAGTGACACAATAATAGTAGTTTATTACTATTTGTACTTACTTACTTAACCAGTGTACATGTTGATGTAGAATATAGTAAATAGATAGCATTGATTATCATTAACCGATACAATTGACCCCAAGTTATCACTGCATCTGTGAATCAATTACAGATATGCACATTATCAATAATAAAAATAGAAAACTATTTAGACATGCCGTTTCAACAATCTATTGGCAGTCATTCAGGGACAAGCTTAAAAGGATTTTTTATTTTTTTACCGTGAAAATTTTGTTGCTGGAAAGAGAACCAGGCATCTGATTTACTGTTTATCTAGTTATTTGATAACTGTAACGCACAACAGATGAAGGAAAGTGCCGGGGAATCCCACGTCTTTTAAAATGGAAACAAAAGTATTAAATGGATTAGTGCTTTTTTTCAACAATTTATTAGCCCAAATCTGTATTTTCTTGGAACACCTTGCAGGTATAGTTTGCGTCTGGCGCGCATGTGTTGCGCCTCTTTTCTTCTAAGTCTGTCTCATTCTCCTTGGCTTCAGCCTCTCCTCGTCCTGCTGGGAATAGACGGCCTTGAGCCCGAAATGTGTTTACATTTTGTGCATGTTACAAATTATCTGCTAAGACTAACTTTGCGTGACTTGGCAGAAGCCTTCACCTTGCTCAGATGTTGTTTGGGTCAAACGTATTTTAGGAGTTTGCTCCCTCAATTTAACTGTCTTTATCTGACAGGGGTTTCAAGCCAGATGTGAACTCAGGCGAAAGGTAAAGCTCGTGCTCAGCGTAGGTGTGTGCGCGCGTGCGTGTTTATGAGCGTGTAATAACGTATGCTGTAGGCGGCCTGCCAATCTGAGGGAATTAACGTGACATTTGACGATCTTCCAGATCTTCCAAAATCACTTCATAGATTCATCGTTGTGTTTCTACACCTAAACCTTCAGATTGAGGGATCTGATTCACTCATATCCTGTCCAACAACACTAATATTTCTCAAACGTTTCTCTGCAATGTGTATTCAACGACGTCAACTGATTGATTGAAAAACGATATTCTAATATTGCGTCGGGACTGTTTCTTATTTTTTAATAATAGCAGATTACCACCATCACAATATTTCAAACTTTTTTATTGTACAGTTCCATCATCATACCGAACAGGTCAAATCCCTTGAGATGATGCTATTCCAAAAGCTGTTGCTAAATAATAGGGTCCTCTTTCTGATTAATGGTCGCGTGCAAATAGAAAAAAAAAAAACATGTTTATTTCTCCATTTGGATTTATTGAGCAATTGAGGGTTTGTTGAATTTCTATCACAGCGTGTCAGCAGAATACAATTCCCTCTTCATCCCACTCCAGAGCTCGCCGCTCACACTTGGCAGAAGAAAGACATGGTTCATATACAGAGTTTCTTCCTAAAGTGGCAATATTTTTCACACAAACATTGAAGAAAATGCTTCCCGCTAAAAGGCACCGGTGCTTGCAGACGTGGGTTACGCGTCGCCAAGTGTCCGATGTGAAATAACGACTTGCTGATGGAACTAAGGACATTTGGCAAGTCAAGGAGCGGATGATATACTTCTGAAAAACTATTGGGCCATAAAAGGAAAAATGACTTGTGATGATTGGAAAGAAATGACTCCAAAAATATGTCTGTGCTTCTCTCTTTCTACTGGATGTGTAAAGTAGGATTGGATATTTACGTGTTTCACAATAGAGGAGTTGGTGTGAGTACAAACTAAAGTAGAACAAGGCACGTTAAGGACACTGACAAATAAGCCAATTGTTTTTTTAAATACAAATAACACATTTCAAACCGCTGATAACGTATTTGATCATGTGTAGTAAATAATAAAACGACCTTCTGATCTTGTCTCTGTAAAAATGTAAATGTGAAATGTCCTCATTGATAAATATGTGATATATTTGTGTGTGGCGTTATTTACTCTGATGGAAAGAGATTGCATCACATTGATTATGTTGTTCACTTTGTATTTTAATTAATCAACAGCACTTTGTATGTTTTTCACTTTGTATTTTAATTAATTAACAGCAGCAGAATATTTTAGCATTTCAAAATCACACCTTTATAATGAAGAAGGAATCAGTGAGCAGCTGCAATGTCTTCGACCAGTCAAAGGGGTCAAAGCAGGTCGTCCTCAAACAGATTGTCCTACTAACTCTCATTTTACCGAACATGCTATTGTAGGTTATTTTGCCTCTGATTTGTGTGCACCGAGCACTTGTACCAGTAAAAAAAAGAGAAGATAAAGAGACAAGTCCAGCTTGCTTCAGCACAAATCTCCATTCTGGACCTTTGGGTTGATCCCACAGGTCTGCTCATCTGGCTGAGAGTAGATCGTCTTTGGAAAAGGTTACAGTCCTGACTGTGCGTAATATATGTGACTGTTTTATAAGAAAACACTTAACTGTTTTATAAGGAAATATAATATTCAACCCAAAATAACAATAACACTGAGTAGACATTTGTGGGGTTTTTTTTAAGTCTGTGTACCACTATTTTTTAAATATCTCCTCATTTCAACTTCCTATTTGAGGATGTTTGGAATAGTTTAATGTGCCCATCCGATAACTGTGTCTTTATCTGATGGAGGCTATGAAACTTTCACAGAACGAACAGAGTGGAGCGTGATGTTTAGCGCCTGTTAACATATATAATATGTGATTGAAATCGTACACAACTCATCAGTCCTGTGCGTCCTCAGTCCGCCCTCCTCTCCTCCTCCCTGCACTTCATGGGGATGAAGTGAGACGCTATGTGCTCCCTCCTGGTCTTCCTCCCTCGCATCGGCCTTCCCTTCTGAGACAAGGCTATGAACATTTCTTTGCCATTTTTAGTCCACTTGGCAGAGGAGTACGCGTTGAAGTAGTTTTCTAGGAAAACCTCCTTGAAGTTGCAGTTTTCATTGTAGATCCTCTGTTGGGGGATCAGAACAAACATCACGGCGTTATTACATCGCAAGTGGCTGTTTCCAGCATTCGTCCTTGTCGTTATCGGTTATTATTTCGGATGCACTTGCAGACTTTTCTCACTGAGGAAAAGTATTACCTTGCCTTGCAGCTGTCCCGCCTTCGTCATAGAGATATAATACTGGCTCTTCACGCCTTTGATGGCCAGTACGCCGCCCTCGGACACTGTCCTGATCTCCAGGATGCCTGCGACACGCAGCCCGGGAAAAAGGAGACATATTACAGGAAGGATAAGAAACTACCGACATCCAGACATACTGCACTCAACATTCATCTTCATTAACCAACGGCATGGAAGTTCCTGCGGTTAATCAGTCTGTGGTCTTTCTGGCTTCATTCAAGCCTTGTTAACTGGCCTGGGTGGCCTTTACGCAAACCACGACCTGTGCCACAGCACATATGGGAGACTGATTAGGCTCCTCTCTCCAGGGATTTGGGAAACTACCTCTCTGCATGAGCCTTGCACGCTATTGCAATTGTATGCACGAAAAGCATGTTATTGTGTTTGAAGGCAAGTCGCTCATCCAAATATGGTGAATCCTAACAAAACATTACAACATTAGAATTAAGATTAGCATAAAAATATGCATTCCATGTCCTGATCCAACATTTTCTTCTCAATGTTACATATTGCAGGAGTTCTTTCATTTGACAGGCAGGTAAAAAAGGGAAGAACCGTGTTTAAGTTCTTCAGACTGACATTGAGCACGCCTCATTTGGTCGTTTGCTGGATTAAAAACAAATGACAGTATCTCAATCCTGGAATGAATGTCTGCTTACTCTTGATCATTTTCCCTTATGTTACTGCCTGTCGTGCACTGTGCCATCACATTTATATGATGAGGATTTCTATTCTCCTGTTTGATTTTATTTATCATGATTTAAGGTGCAGTTCAACAGTTAGTATCCCGTCTTCATCCACACCCGCTGTACATTGATATTCACTCAATACTCACTATATTTGTGAGTACTGTAGATGTTATTATCGTTGTCAAGAAGCTTTGACCTCGCTATTCCCATAACATTCCCAATAACATTACATGTAACCGCTACAGATGTTTGGTCGGCCGTGGAGAGATGGAGCACATTCCCACACACACGCACACATGTTGTTAACATTTTGGCTCGGACACAGACGGGGAATCCTCACCGTGAACAGATTAGGCTGAGTAAACTAATTTGTGGGTAATCCCTAATCCTGCTTTCTCTGAATCCATTGTTTTTTTCCATTGTTTTTGAGTTTAATTGAGATTAATGATGACTGCTTTCTACTGGACATGCAATGTCTATCAAATAGATTTTAAGAACCTTTGTCCTAAAGTGCAAATCATCATCTGCATTGAAATCAAAATCTTCATATTCTTTAGTCGGGATCACAAATCTGTATTTCCAATTACACAGTTATTTTAATATCAGGTGTCTCAGGTATTTTATGTCCAAATATGATAGATTTAGTAGAAAACAGTGCTAAAGCACACAAATAACACTCGACCATCTTTGAATTCCCTGTTTTCATTCTGCAATTTAGAAATTGTTTTTCTGGTCTTTTTGATATTATTATTGACACTTTGCTAAACTCAACTTTGAGGCAATGCTCAAGTCTTACACTTACACAAAACTACATGTTTTTCTAATTACCATTAACTCTTTTATTATATGTCATTTGTTTGTTTTTTCTTGCACCTACAGACCAAAATCGACCTGCAGACTGTTGCAATGCCCACGTCCAGAATGTTTGTGAGCCATTTAAGAAACATTTTCTACAGTAAAATATCAGTGTTGGACATTTCAGTTGTCTCCATTTCAGAAGCAAAAGCTTCCAGGAGATGACAAATTCCACATTGCAGACGTTTACACCTTCGCAACCCAGGTTGAAAACGTGTGCGGTGCATAATTAGCTCACTGGAAGTAAACCTATAAGTTTCTCACTTTGGTTTCTTTTTTTTTCATTTGTCTTTTCTGTTAGAGAAAAAAAGACAAGGAAAAAAACAGGACTTTTTGTTCACTGCAGCCAAAACTTATTGAGCCCTGATTTGTTCTGTTTCTGTCTCTCTGCAGGTCTCCTTACAGGCTGATTGGTAGAATGGCTTTGTGCTTTTAGCGTGCGACTTTAAGCCAAATATGGCCCTACCGATTGTTCTGTCTGGTGTTGCACAAGCATCTTTCCCATTGACTTTGGGGCATTTCCCCGCCAACATTCCTGCCACAGCCACACTGTCAGATAGGAGGAAATGATAACTTCCTAAAACATCCTCACGATGACAGATATGTCCAGTGGTTAACATCGGCTCCGAACAACAATTCGAACTATGTAGTGGGTTGAGTTACAAATACCTCGGCTTCCAAATAAAAGCACACATTGGGTAGTGAGCTGGCATGCCTCATTTGGCCATTTTTGATGTGTGGTTACAGGCACAGTTGGGTTGCTGGCTTTCTTTTTTTTTTTTCTACCAAGGTCTTATTTACAGACTTAAGATCAGTAAATCAGGCCTAACAAATGTGCGTCTGTGGCGGTGTCAGTGCCTGGCACTCTTCAGGCTCCAAGACCCTTCAGTATACTTCATTACAGCCTGTGTTTAGATGGTGTTATTGTTTAACAAGCCAGAGCCCCCACCTGCGTCATTTTTACCTCCATCACTTTGGCCGCTGCATCAGAGACACATGACCCATTAACAGTGTGATTACACTGTGGAGACATCCGTGCAATAACACCTCCCACGTCTTCCTGTCACCCTGACAGGCCAGCGGTGCGTCAATGATCCAGAGGAAAAATATCACAACTCATCTCGAAATGCATGAATCATAACATCTCAAATTTCTGGGACGCACATTCAATTTAATAAAATATGTTTGGGGCATTTTTTTTCCCTTTTCTTTTTTTTTCTTACTGATCACTGATAAATGTAGAGCAATGGGATAAAACGAGTCATCCTTACTGTGGCAGTTGGTGGGATCTTGGGTCCCGGTGATGTTGCCAAAGTCATCAATTGTGAGGAACCACTGCGTGCGGCTGAACAGCTGTCGGATGCGCACATCTCCTCCCTCCATGTAGTCGTAGTTCCTCGTGTGACGCTCGTGTTTGGAGCAGTTCGTGATGGCCGTGAGTTGCTCCGGGGTGCAGTCACCGTGGACCACGCGCACGCTGCCGAACAAGAAGATCGCGTGGAGGTACAGTCCCGAGAACAGATTTGGAAGGTTCCATGTCAGCATCCATTTGCGCATTATAATACAATGCAGTGGGGGTCAATGAACAACATGCTTAAATGTGAGATCCGTGGGCTCTCCCTCAGGCCGGCGGCCTCCTGATTCCTGACTTGTAGCACTCGTCTCGTGACCTCCGGTGTCCCTGTTCTCGCGGTGGGTATTCCTGGCGGGAGCTGAAGAAGTCTGAAGGAGACCCGCGACGATATGAGGAGGCGATGTCTCTCTTTAGTCCTCAGGGACGGTCTGCGCTGGATGCTCCATCCTCTTGAGACCATAGTCCGACAAAGGACGTCATAATCCACTTCAAGAAATGTGATGCTGGATGCCACTATGAAAGAATAAAAAGAGCAGCTGATGCATTTGTGAAAAAAAATAACTCAAAGGGAAAACTAACAAGAGGAAAGATTCTTAATGGAAAAGGTTTTAAAAGCTGTCAAAACCAATCACTCCTAGTTCTATGTGGAGCTTTCCCAACCAAAAAGTTAGTAAAAGAAATTCTGGTCTTCTGCGCTCACACAAATACAATTTATGTGGTGTTCTTTGAAAAGCATATCTGGATCCCAAACAGTGAAATATTGCATGAATACTACTGTTGGATTGCTTCACTAGTCTGTGGTCTGTAATATCCGCTGTACCTGCATACATCCATCCATCCATTCAAACAAACATAATAATCAGCTTTTCTTGAAAAAACAAAATTAAAAAACAACCGTAGTTTAAAGACTTACATGTGCCCTGGGTGATGACAGGAGTTTTTAGAGGTTCGTTTCGTTTCCGTCAGAGTTTTAAGTGCAGTTCCACAAGCTGTGGACTCTCTCTCAGTCGCAATGCAGGGAATCTGAGCAAGAGCTGGTAGCTTCTGTCAATTCCCATGAATGTCTCCCTGTTTCTGGCAAGCGGACTCTGTGCATCCTCCGCTGTCGCTGTGCACTCTGCCTGCTTAGATAAATGCCTCCTGCCGACCTCACTTGAGAGCAATTAGATCACAACCAGTCAGCTGTCCCTGGCCCAGAAGCAATGGAGAAACACCCTCTGCCTGCCTTTGGCCGTCACTCACCCACAGGACATGAGAGGGAGCTATAAACACTTGGAGCGGCAGACTGTGCTCGGTATGCACTCCGGAATACTTTAAGAACAATTGCATGCACGCTCACCCTCGCAGAACTTACCACAAGCTCTTTTCCAAGAAGCGTCCCGCGCTCGCAGGGGTTCGCGCCAGTTTCTCATAATGACTCACGTTGGCTAAGATGTTTGCGCTGAGGACGGCGCTTCAAAGAATTCCTCCGCTATCATTTCAGATGTCACTCTCAATTAGCGGTTTCATTCAGCTGCACGGAATCACACGTCAGGATTTACTGACTCGAGTGAGGAGGAAACTTCAAAGAAGCCCCTCGGTTCTCGATCTAAGTGTGTGTCTCACATGAGTGTAATAGTGGGAAGCAATAAGTTACGTCTGGCAGGTATCCATCCACGGGGAGAAAAACAGAAGACATAACTGCCTAGTCATCTCTGTGTCAGGGGTCGTGCACTTTTTGGTGTTTGGTATTTAAAGTCACAATTTATTGCCTGACAGGCCAGGCATTTCCTTGGACTCACTACTTCAAAAGTTTATATGGGCCCTAATGACACGCTCCCCTGTGGAGGTCAGAGAAGCAGGCCTGAGAGAGGGAGAGAGAGGGACTTCTGGCCTGAGCAGGTCTCCTTCTCATCTCCAAACCGGGGTCGTAAAGACCTGATATATGAGGCGTCACTCCGGTCTGTTCATCTGTCCCTTCCATCACCTCGGTCTTTTGGACGCAATGAAAACATCCCTCAACGTGTCACTCCAGGCGTCCCCCTCATAAAAGATATTACAGACATTAAAGTGACCGCAAAGTCACAATCAACGTATATAAAATGATCCCACATGTCTACTTTACAGGCCATACGTTGTTTGAACTCAATGTTTTTCCCCACGGGTGGTCACTTTATGAAAATTCTGCTGAAGCTTTTCCCCCGTGAATGTGAAACTTTCTCATGGCGAGGGGGTCTCTGTGACAACCCCCCCAGGAGCTGTGGGATCGGGGGGGCGAGCAGCACCTGGCAGGAGTCCGTTGAGGCCAATTGCTTCCCGGACAGAAGCCAGGCAAAGCGTCTCAAGGAGCCTTCCAATTGGCCTCGACCGAAATAAGTGGCCTCGCCCGGAGGGTCCCTAGCAAGATCTGGTCATGCTCCCAAACAATGCGCGGTCCCCGTGGGGACTGCCTGCATGGATCTGTGGTGGTGGGTTACGGCGCCATGTTGGTTGGGTGACAGGTGGAGGCCTTGGAGGACCGACCCCTGTGCCAGTGCGGGAGATTGAGCGACCACGGGGACGTCACAGGTCCAAACTAACAGCGGGAGCTGAGGAACGACCTCCCTGGACGAGGGCTTTATTCTGTCCTTTGCCAGAGATGTCAACGGGTCTTTGATTTCCTCAGCACCAGCATCTTCTTTTGAATTGTTCACAATGAGGAAACAGAACATGCGGCCGTCTTTTTTCAAAGCACGTCTCCTTATTTGTGCAGACGCTCTGATCTTTTCAAAATGTCTTTTAAAAGGGCTTGTTTTGTCCATCCTGGACTTTAGGTCAAACTGGACCATAACCAAGAAGGAAAAGCCTATTTGTGGGAATATATTGTTCCAATAGATTATTGCTTGTGGATGTTTGTGCTTTAGTTTGCAGGATGAGTGGTGACCATCCAGATCATCTAGAGAAAATGTTACACAAATAGATAGTAGCCGCTAGAGATAACGAAAAGAAAAGGAGCGGTGGACGTCTATTGCAGTGGTGTTATTATTGTCAAGAAACCTGTGGCATATAAACCTTTTTAAAAGCCATCCGGTGTTTTTTTTGCGGCAAAAACAGACGCCTGGACACGGGGCCGGAGGTGATAGTTATGGGGGAGATTTGGGGAGACACACAATCCCACAGCTTTGCGCCAAAAACAGTCGTTTGGTGTATCGAGCCTCCTTGGAATCTTTCCTGAAGAGGGCTCTCTTTGATACACGCTCATATCTTCATCTGGCAGCGGCATTGTTTTCTCTCGCTTTTAAAAGCTGCTTTACAGTTGAGGTCATTTTCTGTTTTGATGTTCTCTCAGAATGTCCAATCGGATGCCGACCCTGGTGCTCACCCAGAGCATGATGGGAAGTGAAGTCTGACTCAGAGGGCGCCTGGAATCGTTTAACAGCTTCGCTGGTGTAATTGACAGCCAAGTCTTTTTTTTACAGCTCTGAGGACACAGGTTAAGGACGCCAACATTGACCTTTTATGATGACAAAACGTGGCAGACTTCAAACCCTCTTTGACGTTTTGAGTTTTTGTACTCTCACTTCTTGTAAGCAGTTTGGGCTCAGCAAGGTGACCTTTATTTAACCTCAAATCAACTTTTATCTTCTGAACGAAGCACTATTTTTTTTTTTCCCGAGCAAAGTCGTCTTTTGTTTTGCTTGTCAAATGTATCTTATTTTTGTATTCTGTCAAACCCAGATATTTCTTTTTGACATCCATCGGAGCTCTGGGGCTCTGATATTGTACAATCATACCCCTGAAGACCGACTTCCTCAAACATATGTTTTAACAATGTCTTTGCCGTACTTTACTTTTTAGTAAAGTATAAATTGAAGATTGCAAAGTAGGGAATAATAACAGCACTGTAAGGCTACTAGCATGCTGTGACTTGAATACTGGTGTCTGCAGGTAGTACTTTGTTTTACTGCCTGCTGCCCTTCACGGATCAAAGGCCCACACGCTGTCTGGAGTTTACAGTAGCAAAGGAAACGCTCTGGTCCCGAGTTCACTTAAAATGTACAATTTGTTACTCTCCGTTTCTCTTTTTCTGCCTGATTTGAGTTTATTTCACAGATGTTATGTTGGATGTTAGATTACATTATAGTTGAGAGTAAGGTTTTAACAAACGCCAACCATGTTCCGTCTTCGTAGTTCAGACTAATTCAATATGTGTCATTAATGCATTTCCACTATTTGGACAGTTTAGGTGTGTGTGAGGTTTTTTGAGGTGACTCTTCCTTCTCTTTTCTCTTCTGGGAACTTGTTTTTCATAAAAAACATTCTCATGCAATTTCCCCATACGCTCACCAGATACGCAGTTGGTTCCAATCCTTCCTTTGCAGGACACTGATATTACGATGTGATTCATCACCGTTATCAAGAACCTCTCGGAGTGTTAGCACTAAAATCAGGATTAAGAATTTATAAGAGTTTCCACTATTACTGCGGAGACATCTGCCTTCACACGGTGTCTGCTCTCAACACTCTAAAAGCATTCCTGGAGAGAGAAGAGCCGCTGTGTGTGTGTGTTTGTGTGTGTGTGTGTGCTCTTTACCCCGTCTTGTAGTGATATGACTGCATTTATGGTGGGAGAATGGATCATGTCGAAGGTCAGTCTATTATTAGCACTGTTTTAGACTGTTTGGGTTAATCTTTTGCTTTCTAAATTCCTTGATAATTGGCGATCTCTCGGGATGGAGCCTCACAACATTGGCTCCAAGTATTTTTAACTAGCTTCCAAACGCACGCACGCTTGTACACACACTGTGGACCCGACACACACTCACACACAAACTCACAGCGGTGCGTTGGTGAAAACTTTCCAGTTCTGTTCAAAGTGAAATAGTTCAGAAATAGACCGCTTTGCTTGTCCAGCCAATATCATGCCCCCCGAAAGAAATATCCCCATCAGTCAAGCCTATGAATCCATGACATTCAACATTTTCACGTTTAGAGAAACTCAATCTCACCAAACACGGTTTAGCACTTAATCTCACTAAATATTTTCCTGCATATTCTTTACAGCTCTTACGTCGTTTCATGCAGATCAAATGTGTCCAGAAATGCAATATTGTCTCATTAAAGCAAGCGTTTTCAAGCTGTGTGGTTGCTGTACTCACCATTTAAGGTAGCGTACAAGAGGAAGGGTGAAGCTTTGTCGGTGCCTCTGTTATCCCAGCTCACGCACACAGTTTCTCACACACACACACACACACACACACACACACACACACACACACATACACACCTCCACTCGGCTCGGCTCTTTGAAGCGTCACTTCCTGGATCCGGCTGTCTCACTGAACGCTGTGGTGCAGTAAAAGGTGACACTTGCTGCTTCTGTCTGGTCTGAGGTGCGAGTTGGAGGTCTGCGGTGTTCCTTGGTGTCCACCAACAACTGTCCGAATGGAGCCTCAGTGCATTGAAGGAAATGTGTTCAGTCAAACCTGATATTCAGTAATGATGAAGTGTTTTCTTTACGAGCGGCATTGGCCGGTGGTCACTCTGCACGGTGTTGCAGACGGTTGCATTAGGGCCTGTGAAGGAGAATGTGACCCGACGTTGTACTTCGCCGTCGGGGGAATACTCTGATCCCGTCTAATGCAGGAACAGCTGTTAGGGATCACGGTCTCAGCGGCTCACCATATCTGTTCATGTATCAGAAAAAGCTGAGCTCCGCTTGCAAAGACACGCTCCGCCTCTGTGGCTTTAAAGGACAGAGATGTTCTAAAATAAGCCCTTTGACTACGAAAACCTCTGACTCAGGTCATATTTAGAATTTGAAGCTTCAGCGTATGACGAAGGATACCGGCTGTTAAACGAGACATTTTTGTAATATTGACCAGTTTCTTTGTACTTAGTTTTTTGCACGTGGCCTGAACATGTCCAGAACATGTTTCCTGTGTGATTTAATTAGTTTGCATCAATCTCTAGACTACTTTCTAGATGTGCAGCAATGTCAGAAGAACCAAACGGTTGCTCCTTATAATCTCTCGTGTCTACGGTCTAATTGCATTTATGCTCCTTTTTTGATTCAGTGACTTCAGTATTTTTGAACTATTGATCCTTTTGCCGTGGTTTGTCTAACGGAAAAACAATTGGACCATAGAAGGTGGGGAGAAATGAAACATTGTAACAAAAATGGTTTGATTGGTTGTGAAACAGGTGTAATATTTTATATCCATAGTGAATTTACATCAAAATGCCCTTTGTCATAATCACATACAGGCTTCAGGCACCACCATGTACATGTATCAACAGACAAGGCTTGGGCTGTAATTTATCCTTGTGGATTAAAGCAGCTGGCACTCGCACCAAAAGTCAGGCGATGGCATCAAACGCTCATTTGCATGTTGCTGACATCATCATTAATTTGCATGAATCTTACTAGTTGTGTCCCGTTGAAGAGATGCAGAACAGGAAGAGGGTCAGCAAGCAAACAGACAGCTCTGGCTGTCTTTATAACCGTGGCGCCAACAGTATTACCATTTGGAAAAGCTACTGTGGGAAAAGAGGAAAAGTTTTCTCTTGTCGCTTTTCCACCATTTTTTACCGATTTAATTTCAATATGTTCTGAGTTTCGCAGACTTTTAGTGGAAAATATCTATTTAGTACTTGCTGGCCGGTTGAGTATCACAGACATGGATCATCAAATCAATTGTGATTAAATCACTCCGAGCAGCCCTGCGTTCCCAAAAAAGCGCCCTATTAAAATAATCATCCTAATTTAATACATCAGATAACTTTCTGCTATCGCGGAGATTGCTGTCACAATCGTTCTTAGAACCACCGCGTCTTTCCTCTTTGACTCAAACTACTTCCAGATGATTCATTACTACGCCGAGTCTCTGCATCACTCTTTTCTGGCCTGTTTATCACTTGCCCGTCTCCCTTTGAGCCATCGCCTCTCGGTTGTGTTTGCCGTGTCGGTCTCTGTGTTTCCCAAACCGTGCTGCGTAGTTTAACGATAGTAATAACTTGGTAAACCCCTGCACCACATGCTTATAGAAACAGACAAACACGCATCATACCAATAAAACGCCATGGCTCATGTGCACCACGGAGCGCTGGCCTGTGTGGGAGGGTGTTCACACAGCAGGGTGCAGAACAGCACACAAAGGGTATTGACTGCATGAAAGGAGCCAGGTGCTGGGTTCAACTGAGCTAAATGGGGCGCTTAACCAACTTGAATCCGGCATTGGGGGGGTTGTGAAAAAGCAGCATGGGTTCTGGGGGGCACGTTCCCCTCATCCAGGAGTGTAAGAAGGACTAATGTGAGGAATTGTGAGTGAGAGGCTGCACTGCATGTGCGTAAGAACAGTTCGGTTGTATATTTGGTTATTTTAACATGTACTGTAGCTCAATGGGGATTGATTTGCTTTTGATTAACATTTGAGGGACATTTTCAGAACATTTTATTGTACGTGTAGCACATTTTAAGAGTTGAGATCACTTTGTTCACACAGCGTATCCTGACATTTGTGCCAGTTTTTCTGAAAGAATCGTCATGCAACAGTAAATCAGAGCTCACTGTCATCACTCTTGTGGACGTGCACTGCTGTGGTTTTAAGAATACAAACTTAAAATGTTGGCCCTGAAAAGAGACAAGCTGAATAAGAAACCCAACCCCAAAAACAATGTCAAAAAATAAACAAAGAAACTGAATGCCATGTGAGTCACTTCCAGGCAAAAACTCAATACAGACAGCACACACACACACACACACACACACACACACACACACACACTAATCAGCTGTCCTTCACTTTTGCATCTGCGGTGTTAATTAGTGAAAATGATAAGCAGGCAGCAACCGCGGTCAGAATTGATTCCCCCCCCCTCAAGCGAAAGGCCAAATGAGATTCCTTCTGGGCCAGAGCTCGTTTGGGACCCATCTGAAGGTCTCCTTAATCTTCTCATAGCTACTGGCTTTAGTGGAGCCATAACCACAACACCGAGTCACTCAACTGACGGTCAGCTTCTGAGAGGAACGTCTGTGTCATGTGTTATGACAGAAGTAAACGAGTGCCTGTATTTAGTCTTTTATTGTCATAACCCTCATTAGAAAAAGGCTTTTCAAGTTCATGGATTTGTGGACTCACACACCGTACGCACACACACGCACACACAACCGAGAGTTTATCTAAATAAGGATTTCTCAGAACACCGAGCAAGAACACATAATAATCTCACTTTTTCTAATGTCTATTTGCATCCACAACTTAGTCTGTCACTTATTCGCGTTAGTGTCAGCCAATCATCGTGCAGATGTCACACGGAGGTGAATCCGGGCTCGTCCGTGTGACGCATGCGTGGCTTGTTGCTTTTGGACGAGTAGAGCGCTAAAGTCTGTAGCGTCAGTGCTGCTCAATCTCTGTCGTGCCTCCCTCTCTGTCTCATTGTAAGGATGGATGGATTTTTAATGGCGGAGCTGGAAGAAGTGGAGCAGAACTGGAGAACAGGAGCTGATGTTGGAGGAAGAACAGACGCGTTACTCCTGTGAATTCCCAATAGCGGCTAACTCGCCAGGAAGTTTATTCCCCCCCAAACCACTGTGGTTAACCTCATAGCGTGCAAAGTGATAAGGCAATGATCTATTTTATGGTTTTCCTGCATTTCTCCTCACCTTCATGCTGCACCGCTCAACGCCGTTGGCTGTTGTAGAAGGGTCAGACTTGTTTTGGGCTCTCATGAAAGTGCTCCATCACCTGAGAAGACGTTTATCGGGCGAGACAAAGATGGATGAATTGGGGTCGATGGCGTGTGGAGAGCAGGTGTTGTCTAGGAGAAACAACCTGGTGGATACATATATGTGGGTGCGTGTGTCCAACAGAGACACTGTGAGGCAACATGCATGCAACAGTCCACGCCACAGGCCAGAGGAAATCACTTCTTAGCTCAGTTATGTCCTGAACTGGCCTGGTTTATAACCAAAGGTGTGCTGCCGTCATCCCTTCAGCAAAACAAACCGCCGAACATGTGTTTCTGTTTACCTGTGACATCTGCTCCACTGGATAAGTCATGAAAAAACACTTGCAACATTTATCTTACTGCTATTGTGCCTAGCAACAAATGGCAAACATTGAAAACAGTTGACATGTTTTGAGTAATGGGTTAGATCAATCAATGAATCAATGTTTCTGAAATGTTCCCTCTTCCCTTTACATAGTTACATCAGATGGTGTACAATTAACAAGGAACAGATGGGAGGAAATGTGCTTTATCACACTGATTAAGTGCAAATCAGTAGGTTGTGATGGGACTTACTTGGAGTTTGGCTTTCTTGAAGAAATTGTATCTTCTTGATTCTTGTTGTAGTCTGTAGTGGTTGAAAGCATTTATTATAACTATAAAAGCATCAACTAAATGAAAAATGTCAAACGTAAACGTAAGGTGTCCAATGTGGACAGACATACAGGTTTAGGGTTTTCTCTTTGCAAGTCAAAGGTCTAGAGGTCAGAGAACCTCAGAGGAGATACTATCGTCCCCAAAAAATGATCTCACTTCGCAGAACCCCTCGTAGAGACGCCTTAGTTGCCTGTCTTTCTGGTATGCTTTTTAACATTAACATTGTTCCTTTATTTAGGAAGACGACACGCTATAACACTGAAAAAACTGTATACACAGTCCGGGCCAAATGGAGGGAGAGCATGAGTTTACAGATTTGTCCTTCCCACAGGGCCGAGGGGCCTGTTTCAAAATGTGCTTTCACTCAGCTCATATCTTCAGTTGCGTGAGAGATTTCCATATCTCACACACTTGTAAATCACAATCGAACAGTAGTAACTCAAAGAATGAGCTCCGAACACGTCTGCTTTCAATTTGGGCCCCAAGGTCGTGCCAAGACTGGGGCGGGTCCCCGAGACCACCCCTCAGCACCCATTTACTGGCCTCCCGTCACCTCCGGGGTCCGAGGGCTGCAGGAACACCTGCCTTCTCCCGTCACACCAGGGCGCACACCTCACACCTATGCAGCTGAGGGTGGTGGAGGTGTGAGAAAGTGTGTAGTTGGAGTAAGTGGGGGGGGGCTTCACATGCTGGAAGATTTAGACCCCATTAAAGCAAAGTGAATGTTCTCGGAATATGTATTATTTTATTTATGTGCACGAAAAAGGACACCGCTAAAATGAACCAGAAAAATAAGATCACAAAAGTCATCTTTTTTTCTTTCTTTTATTATTTCACCTCATGCACGGCTGTAAATATTTTGCATTTTTACAATGCATTTAAGATAACAACAGACTGAACGTTTTAATAGACTTTTAATAAAAAAAAATTCAAATGCACAGTCGAACAAAAGCAAAGAGATTTCACTTGCCAGTTGCACTATGAAGGCTCATAAATGTTGGCCCTATTAGAACTTTACAATCACACATTTGGTGCGAGTCTCTTTCTTCTGGGAAATTGGACACCCAAATTGGATGCCTGTTAACTTTGCATGTTCTTCAAACACTACAGGTTTCCATATCTCGGGGGATCTTGCTGTTGCGTGTTGCACAGACAGAGGTGGCTCTGGTTGGATGCAGAGGATTGCACAGATACTGGTGTCACATCGGGGTGCAGACAAGCAGGATGTATGATCTAATCATACATTACAGCGTTTTATCTTTTTACCAGGGAACAAAGAAATCGTCTTGGCCAGTTCGGTCGTGTTCATTGGAATGTGTACGAGTACAATAGTCTCTGGTTGGCCGAGCGGTTTAAGGTGCCGGCCTTTTCTGTCTCTACTATAAGCTATTTAAAACGAGAGCAAAACCAACAAACCATCATGATGCGCTAACTCTTTGGCAGATTGGTCGTTGCTGAGCTATAACCATTATAAATTGTGCCGATATTGGCACAATTAGTTTAGTGTAGTAAAGATCGGAGGCTTCGTTATAACAGGGCTTTGACCTGTGATAGAAAAGGCTTACGGATGTGCATTAAAATAGATTAAAGAGTGAACCAACTACATTGTCAGTAACTACACATCCTTGTGCTGAACTGGATGAAACAGAAGTCATATAAGGGCATAATAAAGAAAAAATAAAAGAAAGTCATTAAAATACTTCATTCCTCTTCTTCAGTTGTCCAGTAGCAACATCGCGTTGGAATCGTGTCTTGCGAAAACAAGATCTTGGGCAGGAAACCACAAGGGTAAAACTACATAAAAACAAGAGTCTGTTTGAGTAAACATGGTTCTGTGGTCTGGGTGAAACACAGAATAAGGACATATGGGATATGAGGGGAGTGGGGGCGGAGGCGCGCTTGTTGAAGCAATCGGGATAACGTGAGATTACGCGCGACTATGTTCGCGTATTCGTAGATAACCTGTAATAGCTAAAATGATCACCAGCGGAAGGCTGATAGCAAGCAGTAACAAAACAAACTCGCGCTCCGTCTGTGCGACCATTGAGGGGCGGGAGTCTCACTGGGAACAGCGTGACAGAATTTTCTAAGAACCTGAATGATTAGCTTACTTTGGAGCTAAGTGGGAACAGAGGGTGGTGAACCCATGTTTGCTTTCCATTTTCGGATCTGGCACAGAGTCGGCCCACCTTGGAGGATCTGAAAACCATTATCCGGGGCCGTTGGTCAAAAGTGCAGACCGTATAGTGTATCGCAGCCGAGAGACGCAGCCAACGAGGATGCAGACGTAGAGAGAGGGGGGAGGGGGGGGGTATCGCGGATGAGATATCGTGCGAGAGGAGGGGGAATTGAGAAGCACGCCTTCCTGCGCTGACATCTCAATTGCTGCCAGCTCCCCCATGTCGTCCATGTGATGTGTGTTTGGTTTCACAGAGACAAAGGCTTGCTCGCAATGGGATGCAATTCAGAGCGTCCGCTTGTCCATCTGAAGTTACCTTCACAGTTGTCTGACACACCACCTCTTGCATGCAACAGAAGATTAGGTAGAGACAGGCCTGCAGATGGGTTCCCCACCCCCCCTATTGTCTCTTCCACACGCACCCCTTGAACATGCTTAGAGAGAGGTCACGCACACTGAGACAACATCAATCGCTCTCTCGTAAGGCTCCGAGGGAGCTGCTGACTGATTCCTTTTAAAAGGAGCTGGTAGTAAATATAGACTGCGGCTGAATGGAGATCTGTGAGTGTGACCTGATGGGATCTTCTTTATTGTGTGCTGTATTTGGGTGGTTCCAGAAATGGGTTTACTTTATGTGTGTGTGTGTCTCGAAAACCAGACAAATGGAGTCATTGTGACATTGTGTCAGTCAGCTAATTCCTTGAATAAAATGAATAATAAATAACATTTCTTGGGTGTTATACAGCAGGTTTTCTTCTATATATTAATCTGGGGTCATATGCACTTTATTTTTTTATATTTTTTAACTTTTTAAATATTTTTTTACCCATATTTTACCCATAGCCTTATTCTACTAACCCATAGCATTAGCATTTTATTTAGTTACTTGTGCACTGCTGTCTTGTTGTCTATTGTTACACTGTCTACTGTCACGCACCAACCGCCAAGTCATATTCCTTGTCTGAATGACATATTTTGGCAATAAAGGTTTCCTGATTCCTAATTCCTGGTTCCTGATATTAGTGGAAATAAATAATATGAGAAAGAAAAGGTCTACACTTTGTTTTAGAATCACTGAGTTAAGACAATATTACAGCTCTACAATTGTACATGTGCTTGTGTCTTTGACACCTTCTTTCTTTCTGTATTTATTTCATCCAGCTGGAAAACAAAGGCAAAAAAATCCCAGGGAATGACTCACATAAAAGAATCAGTTGTTCGATGGATGTCAAATAATTAGACATTCTAATAAGTTATAACTACATATTTAAATGAAAAATAACAAATAACAAAAAAACGTCAAATAATGACAAAAAGAAATTGCATCTATATTATTATTGCCGTTTGGTTTGGTTTATAAATCCATCTTAGTTTACTATTGATCCTTGTGTGGCCACTTTTGTGCTATAAAAATACACTTTATTACTCATTAATTTGTGGCAACGCACAGCTGTGTGTGTATCGGTCTGTTAGCCAAACACACCACAAACTGTACACAGAGAGATACACGCCGTGTTTTCACCCGCAGCCCAAAATGTCGTCCACTTTGCGGCAGCAGAATGCGAGATTAGCCGCGGACAGGCATCGCGACGCACACTTACTCACTATGGAGTCATGCACACGTGTGCGAATAACGTATGTAATAGCTGGTTGCTGTCGGGTGTCGTCATTTCGTCAGAAATCATACATTAATCTCATGGATCCAATTGTTCTTGGTATTTGTTTTGTATTATTATTAGATTTAATAATGGAACAATAGAATAATAATCTGAATGTTCCCAATTTCAATTGATTATATTCTCTGGAAATCCTCTTGATACTCAAGAATATTGTCAAAGTATTCTCCCAGGAGAGTTGTTGGGAGAGTAGGTAAAATTTTAGATCATTAAATGAGATCATCTTAAAGTAATTACACAATAATGACCGATCCTCAGCAGGCCGCCTCGGCCTCTCACGCTAACGCTGTGATGTCAAAGGATTGTTTTTTTGCCGACTTTTGGACAATAACAGACTTTGGATAAGATAACAGACGGCCATTACCAAAAAGAAAGGAAAAGGGTGGTTAACGGTACTTTATTAAATTCTTTAATTCCATAAACGAGCAACGAGTTGAACAAATCCGTCTCTCCCAAAAAAGAAAACAGCAAGTGCGAAGCAGTCTCCAAAATGTATTCTTTTTATTTTTCTTTTAACTGACCACCTGCAACCTGCATGTGTCAAGCTAGTGCCAGTTAAGACGTAAAGTAAATGGAAGCCAGACCTGTGCTTTGGGGTGTAGTGAGTTGTAAGGGAGAAGTGTAATGGGAACGTTGCACACTCCCTCTGCACTGTACACAACAGTCATTAGGAAACCCATCTGCTCAATGCTCGCATGCTAAGCGGTAATTTTCAGGCTCTGGTGTGTGTGTCTGTGTTTTTGTGTGTTTGCGTGCACGCGTGTGTGATTGTGAGAGGCCACTAGTGGTGGGCTCTGAGCTGAAGAGATGCGTGTGCATGTGCATGTAATGTGTGTGTGTGTGTGTGTGTTTCTGCTATTATCTGGATGTCATCATAACCAATCAGGGCCTGATACCATCTTCCCCCCTCCAACTCCCTGATCCTCTCCCCAGCCAGAGTCACGAGAGCCGAGAGTCTCCTTTGACCACACACACACACACATGTGCACCCGCACGTGCACGAGCAGACACGTAGACACAGCATCACGGTTCCACATTTTGTAGGTAAACATCTCCAGATTGATGAAGCAGGATGGAATTCCCGCCGTTGTGGGAAGCGTGCCCAGAACCATTTGTAAACCCTCTTCTCCGCCGCCTCCTAACTCTTTACAGATTGTAAAACTCTGGACTTCTGGGTCCTCGACCCTTCTCTCGGTGGGTCGGGAGTCGTGAAAAACCTGGAGGAAAAAAAAAAAACACAGTCACGCAACATTTTGTTTCCATTGATCTCTCTGGGGCTGAAACCTCACATGTTCTGAGAACATACGCACACTCCGTCGTGTCGCTTCTGTGTAAATATGTGGTCGTCAGACGCAGCCTAGACGGGTTACACGTAGACAACACTGCGGAGGATAAGGAATAACGTTGTTGTGTTATATGTTACGCATTATGCTCGTTACTTTACCCCAGGGGGCGAAAAGTGCTGTTCCCCCCTTTTACGAGCACAAGAGTCTGAAGTCCGATGGAAGCGCTGGCAGTCGGCCAGCTTTTGCCATGGACACGGCTAAAACTGAGCCACATGCCTCATCCAAATCATACAACATACATTGTAATAACATGTGTTTTATTATACTTAGCACGAATGTTTTAGTTTTAGGAAAAGGTCCGCACGCAAAGCGCCATGCAGATGGGCCGCCGGGCCCTATTACCCCAACCACTACACCGGGCCTCGGGTTCGGTCTCAATCAACCTCCAGCCATAGGAATTGACTCCTGTGGGACCACAGAATGAGAAAAACACTCCATGCCGAACTGATGTTTTCTCACTCCCCTCCTCACTGGAGCCTGAAGTGTTGCAAATGTGGTCTCGATGTGGGTTTAACGATGTTCTTCTTAAACGTGTCTGTTTACCACGATCTGTGACGGACTCGTTTCTGCGAGTTGATGTTGGGTAAAGTGCTGACGGCTGTGTGGATCACCTCCACAGCGGCGCGCTGTCTTGTGTGAGCAGCGATTTCGTCAAATGTGTGGGAACTGGAAGGTGGCGGCGGACTTCAGGGAGGTTGTGCAATCGGGGGCCAAACACAACTCGCATCCGAGCACTGACGCGCCGACCAACAGTCAGCGACAAATGGGCCCTTGCAAAATGTAACGACGATGGCTTTTGAATGGCCATCAATCTGCGCTGAGATGGTTCTGTCCCTCTTAAGTGCCTTTCCTCGAACTGTAATGTGTTGGGGGCACGCAGAGACGGATAAGGTAGATGAAAGTAATCTCTCCGTGGGGACCCTGATATCATGGAATGGAAAGTCACCACATGTGACCGATTGGAACATCTCAGCTACCAGCTCACAATATGGGCGAGTTAATAGTTGAGGAATAAACAAAGTAAATCCTAACGGATGAACGTGAGGGCTTTTATTTGATCCGGGGGAATGCTCATAGACTTAAACCTTTGGCATAACAAGATCAGACACATGGGGATCCAACAGACTCTCTGGTGTATACGTGAAGTTTGCATTCAGTCGCTATAACGTCGGTGTTCTTGCAAGTTGACCGCATTCAACTGTGCACTTATTGTTTTAAGAAAACTTTTGGGGCTTTCTACGATTTGTCCTTTTGAGATATTTCCTTCCCCTGTTTGGTTACAAGGTTCAAGAAAGGTTTTAAGTAAGTAAAGTAAACTATATCTTTTTCATGCTAGGCGGTGGATCACATAAGTTGACTTACTCACTGATCCTAATCTAAACATGGATTTAAAGTCAGTTGATCACATTATTTAAAATACTGCTGATAATAGCTTTGTTTTTTCTTAATTTGTAGTATTTTTCCACAATGTGAAACGGTTTACCAAAAAATAACACACTATGCAACGTGAGACTGGACTGAAAAGGACAGAACCAGAAATATCACTAACAAATGGAGACAAAGGAAAAGCTGTTCTTGTTTATGCTCCTGGGAAACCTCACAGAAAAACATATAAATTACCACAATGATGCTTCCATTGCAAATCTTCACACGGCTCCGAAAACCTTTCTGCAGGCGGAAAAGCATAATATAATATGAATGACTGTGCAGTTTGTGAGATTCACCTCAGCAAAAAAAACATTCAGTCGTTTGGTTATTGGCAATCGAACCATATACACAAAATCTTCGAGGTTCCATTTGCATGAAGAGAAAGAGACCCTGAAGAAGACAATAACCCATCAATAACAGGCATGCGCAGAACTTTCAGAATTGGATACGGTACTTGATATTTATTTACACCATTAGCAGGAGATATATCTGCACGCCTTTCAACAGTGGCAGAGTTCTGCACAAGTGGAGGTTTTATTACTTCTGACAAGCACTTTCCCAGCTGTGGCTCCATTGAGCCCGGCTGTCAGCTCGAGGCCATAAATCACCCCGCTTGCTCTGACAGGTCAAAACTGTGACAACAGAAGGTAACCGTATCGCTTCAGCCCCACTTTGTGTGAGCCTGTGTCAAGTCCCCCGAAAAACGAAGGATTCGACACCGCCTCGTCTTACTGGACCCATCTAAAGGCTCGCGCCTCGTCTGCTTCACTGCCGCTGAACAAGGTCCTGTTGCTCTGCGTGAACGTTAAGTTGGAAACCACAAGTCTGGGCATTTGAATGTGAAATACATGAAGCATTAGAGGAGGAGGAGGAGGAGGAGGAGGAGGAAAACGAAGAGGGCCCAACAGATGACGGCCCCAGCCGACACTACGCGTCCGGCCCCCGACCGCAACGCTGGACTCGCTTTTGTCCCGCATCTGTTTTTAATTTCATCTTCGGAGAAGAAGAATAAAAACAGCGTAGCTTCAGGCTGTTAGCCCACCATCCCACTGTCTGGAGTAGACGGGGGGTCGAAAGGGGGGTCATATGGCCGTGTGTGGGTGGGATGTTCTGGCTCAACGTTGTCACTTTAGGTCTTGAAACAACAATAAATTCTCACCCAATGTCCTTGTAATGTACCTGATCGATAGGGCATAGGGAAAATTGCTCTGCAAAAAAAGTTTGCAGGTCCCATATTGTTGTAAAAAGTGAGATAACTACGTGTTTTTGACATGTGCCTTCTTTTTTACATAACAGGTGTCACTGTGTATAAAGCAATGGATATGGAAACGCTCAATCCATGGATTGTTACGCAGCCCAGGTGTGCTGAGAGGCCGTAAGAGGAAATATGTTTTTCCTTTTAAGGAATTTTACTTAACAGAAACCACGGATACGTCTGACATCACACTCGCTAAAGGAGTAGTTCAACAAAATCACGCTTTGTTGCAATTACCTCCTTGAGTCTTGCTGTTATTGTTAGAAATAATCACATAACGCACTTTGCACCAAGAAACAAATACAATATGACGTTAAATAACTTGAGAGGTGCTCGTAGAAAGACATTATTACTCAGCCTGGCTTGTCCCCCAGGTTTTTTGTCTTTAGAACAAGCAATCTTATTAGCAAACCTAATCACCAAAGAGTGAATTTTCCCTTCAATGTCTAAATGTATATTTTCAAATAGTTTGTTGGCTTTTTTCTTGTGTTTTCTTATATTTCTTTTGATCAAACCACAAAGCAGAGGCCCAGATGAGCTCAGTCTTGTCTGATCTTCCTGGGTAGTGTTTCTCGGACCTCCCATGCGTCGATGATACGCAACCCTATTCCAACACCCTCACACTCCCACCCACGCACGCCACTCAAGGGGTCCACCGCACACAAACCGCAGCACGCTCGCGTGTGATACAGATGGGGGGGGCGCGGACTTGGCTCCGGAGGCTGTTCGGCTCTCGTGAGTTTGGCTTTCATCTGAAATAACAGCCCCGCTGGATGCAAGTTGTTGCGTAAAATTGAGACACGCTTCTACATACCTTGTAAAAATGAAAACAGCAAAAAAAAAGAAGAACGAGGAGAGAAAAACAAACAGGCTTGTCACGCATCTTGCACAAGTTGAGGAGTGAGAGCAGCTACGACGACCTAAGGCCGGGTTTGCACGAGGTCGGCAGCCCCAGATTCTCGGGCCGTTCAAAATGATGGGCCATGATTAAGCAGGTGTGTACATTAGAGCATAAATATTTATGCATAAAAATATATATTCTCGATATGAATACCCACGTGTGTGTGTAGGTGCTTGCATTTGTGTGCACGTGTGACTAATGATCTGCAAGGGAGTTGGCAGCAGTGCACCATGGGTAGGCGCCCTTGTGTTAGCACTTTAGCGGGAGGAACCTGAGTATACAAGCGGGCGGCCTGCTGAGAGAGGTGCACACGCTCCAGCTGCCAGATGCCATGCTGGAGATCTATTAAAGCCTCCTCTCGTGTTTATGGAACTGTCCGAAATGAGATTATGTTTACTCTATTAAGGCTATTAGGTTAGACATAACACAGTTTTTGGCAACCAAAGATTACACGGCTTATAAATCCCAGTGTATACATTGACGCCAAGGGAATAATGTCAACGTACAAATTTGATCAAATTAATCACCAAAGATGATCCCAAAGGAGAAGGGCCGCTGTGAGGTGTTTATAAGGCTTAATATGGCACTGTTGGATCTCTAAATAAGGATGGTAGGTTTAAATGACACGGTTCAACGTGATGAACTCGTGTTTATCACGCCTTCCCCCTGACTCAGTCGGATAAATACAAGGCTTTTTTTTCCCTCAAGGTTGGTGCCTGCGATGGAGTTGTATTAATGTTCGCCCTCCAAGTACCAGAGTATTGTCCCACCACAGCTGGGAAATGGCTTCTTTCAAGATCGCCAAACGTGTTGACGGTGTGTTTCAGGTACGTGAAGAAGCCTCATGCCATGTAATTTGTGAGGTTTGATGTGGGGGCGTTGTGATGACAAATCTAGGTGTTTGAGCACTCCCTGCGTGTCTTTTGTGTCAAATCCACAGCTCTCCTGAGGCGGGTGATTCCGGCCGAGGAGTCTTTGTGATGAGGCGAACACAGCTGAGTTAATGAAAGGTCGACAGCCTCTACGCACGCACCACCGCTGCATCTCCTGAATGGAACACCTTGGTGTGCTGGGCCATATGCACGCACACACAGGTCACCATCCCGATGGCGATGGAGGGCAATAAGAAGATTTTTGGCACAGTGAAGCTTTGGTTAAAATATGCAATAACTCGTTAAGGGAAATCCGATAAAACAAGCGAGGAAACTGCACAGTATATCCCACATACCTCAAAGGCGATAAGCTAAAGATAATGTTAAGGCTTTTAAGGTTATAGCTCAGTCGGTGAATACATTTTCTTCCCAGCATCAGTGTTGGTGACTATAGTAAATATTACGTCCAAACTGACTGCGAAGGATGAAGGACATTCGTTTTTCACACACTTTTTAAAAATAGGGATTGCGAATCGTTCACAAGGTTCGATGTGGAACGACTCC